ATTTTCTTAACCCTCTTGCCACAAGGTGTGACAAGGCCGTGTCGTACGCGACTTTATCAGGACACGTGTCAGGACACGTATCAGGACACGTGTCACAAGGCCGTGTCGTACGCGACTTTAGATTCTTTTTCCATCCACAAAATGAACATTTTCATGGACTTGTTGATGTGGATGGATTTAGTGATAGTGCATCTTCGGGCATTTCTATTTCTAGGATGTTGCACATTTCTTCTATCAATGTTTTACTAATGTGGGGACATGTCATCCTGTTTTTATGTGTGGTGTAACCAATTAAAAAGAAAGTTTTTTCAAAAACTTAGCCCAACAGTTTTTGCTTCTATGTTCTTGTGGCATATTTAGCTTGTAGATTGCATAGGTATTTACTGCTGCTGCATTTAAAATGCTATAGAAGTATCGCATAGGACTGCGATTTGTCATTCTTTTGATAGATTTTGCATGATATAACTTATCAAAAACATCTATGTCCCTTTAATCACAATATAAAATTCAACTATGGCAGGTTTTCAGGTGATTTGGGCAATTTCGCCAGTGTAATGCACGGATAATATGAGGAGTACAGTTTATTTATCTTCGGACAGAAAGAAACACGTATCTTCAGATTTCATCATACAGAAATTTTGAAGAATTTTTATTACGACCATTGGAATTTTCCGTTACAGTTCTTGAACTGTTGTTATAACAATTCTTGACAAATTTCTTCGTCCGTAGTAAACCGTTGATATTCTGCTATAGTAATCTGCCAAACAACGGTAGATAATCAAAAAATAGCTCTTCAGGCTTTTCCTACATGATGAAAAAATATAACATATATCACAAGGGGGTGTCGTACACTACACCGGAGCAGAGTGCGCTCTAATAGTACCTAAATTATGAGAAAAATTGAAGATCGATGACTTATTTTTCCATGCCGCTGTCTTGAAAACTACTACCTGATAGGCTAATTTATGGTTACAGCCCCACAACCCTGGAGTTGTTTCCTGTGCAAAGGAAAAGAAACAAGACGTGTCGATCTTACACTGTCTTGTGGTAGGAGGGTTAATTCTTAAAATTTCGTCGGATGATATTAATTTTGTAAAAGTTAATTGAAGACACAGACAGTCCAAAATATAAAATATATAAAAAACTTTTTTGGTAGACACCATTTATTCACTTCACGTGTTCCAGAACAAAAACTTTTTGACGACTTGACCTTCTTTTTTAGGCTATTTGGCCGTCAAGTTTACAAACATTCCTTTAAAAAACACAGAAAAATACCTAATTAAAATTATAAATTTCAACTTAGAGTTCATGGGTCTTACAGCCATCTTCATGTTTTTCATCCTTTCCATTGGGGATTTTCGGCCTTTATATCTACTGAAGAAATGCACTGGTATATGTAGATTTCTATGGCTTCCCCTGGTGACGAATCTTTGCAAACTTTTAATCTTAAAATTTCGTCAGATGATATTAATTTTGTAAAAGTTAATTGAAGACACAGACTGTCCAAAAAATAAATTTTTATTTTTTGGACAGTCTGTGTCTTCAATTAACTTTTACAAAATTAATATCATCTGACGAAATTTTAAGATTAAAAGTTTGCAAAGATTCGTCACCAGGGGAAGCCATAGAAATCTACATATACCAGTGCATTTCTTCAGTAGATATAAAGGCCGAAAATCCCCAATGGAAAGGATGAAAAACATGAAGATGGCTGTAAGACCCATGAACTCTAAGTTGAAATTTATAATTTTAATTAGGTATTTTTCTGTGTTTTTTAAAGGAATGTTTGTAAACTTGACGGCCAAATAGCCTAAAAAAGAAGGTCAAGTCGTCAAAAAGTTTTTGTTCTGGAACACGTGAAGTGAATAAATGGTGTCTACCAAAAAGTTTTTATATTTTTTTATTTTTTGGACAGTCTGTTGTCTTCAATTAACTTTTACAAAAAAGACTAAGTTAGTCTCATTATAGCCAGGTAATATAGCAGATTATTTGGAATTAAATATTTCATGTATATATATGAAATATATTATTTAATCAACAAAACAAAATTTTTATCCATGTTTACGTAACTTTTATTTTTCCTATGTGAATATCAAACTCAAATTTATGAACTATAAGTGTAATGAACTGCAAATAATTCAAAACTCTTAAAAATTAAGAGTTTTATATTATGTTTTTAAGACTTCTACTTATATTTATTGATATATTTGATCTGATGTTATCATTAATAATAATAAGTTTGAATTTAATGTAATAGATAAAGTAATATTTATTTTATTACTATTAGAATCAACCAAATATGATTTTTAATTTTGATTTGAAAATATTTTAAAATAAATGTTGATTCTTTTAGGTAAACCATTGACTGGTAGAACTCACCAAATTAGGGTTCATCTTCAATATTTAGGTAAGTTTATTTTATTTATTTTAGTGCAAGATACAAATACTCTTTGTACAGGGAACACAAAAAGGAAATACTGAACAAACATTGTCTCACAAATACAATAAATATAATACAGTAAAAAGGTAATCTCTGTACAAAGTCCAAATCTGTACATGCAAAACCAAAACATAATATACAATAATCATAACATATACGCAACATCCTGTGCATAATACAGCTTCAGTACATAAATAAAATATCCAGTACAAGAAAATATAATTACAAAAACATAATACAAAATTTACTATTTTCTTGCTTGATTAAATTTTCTAAGAGTTCGATTTTTTCCGTTTATTCTTGATAAAGGTCATTAAATATGACTGAAAATGTTCAAATTTAATAAATATGGCTGCACATTTACAAGGTGTTTTGAGTGTGTTTTGTTGATAAGATATGCAGTCCACAATGAGTTATAATTGGGCAATGCCGGTCAAAAGGTACTGAACCCTAGTCTTGGAGATTTGCAGAAACGATGCAAAGCTTGGGTTTCTGACAGATTGCAGAAAATGCAATGTCTTTCCAATGTCAATTTGGAGAATATGTTTACCGCAAGGATGTGCCTCTCTAATCCATAAACTACGAGCAGTATGCTTAAGAAAAGCCATCCACTCCACACAGCGCAGAAGATTTTATTTGCTTAAAGTGCTAATTTGAACTAGAAAATGAACTGTATGAGCTTGGTCCACACGTCTTAAAGGAAGCTACTCCCAAGTTTTAAGCTTAGCCATGCAGGTTACAGATAGATAGATTAAGGAAGAGATATAAGAACAAAATGGACTGGATTAAAAAGCACCAAGAAAGTCATTGTAAAATGCAGGTCAACCCTACTGTTATCTGTTGGGACAGCATCACACTTCCAACATGCATTAGCGAAGCATGTAAATATGGGCCTAAATGCACCCCGCAACCTAAACTCGCACATGAAAAAATCATGCCAGAAGTTGAGCAGGCAATAGAGGGGCTCAACAAGATCAAGAAAGAAATGTTCATAATACAAAATCCCATACATGATACCTAGTACATATTATTCCAAAACATACACAATTAACTGGTAAGCAAACTGACAAACTGTGATGACCTGATGTGATAACAAAAATGAACAAAATTTAAAATAATAAAACTAACAAATAAAAATTAAATAAATAAAATAATTAATTAAAATTACCTACCTGGAAAAATACAAAAATAAGAAATATGCAAAACAGGTTAGCAAAGGGTTGTCACAGCCAATCAACACCAAATTAACCCCCCAATATTTAGTTAAGTTAAATTTATATAGTCAAAATTAATAACTGAAAGATTTTGTGATTGTTTTAGATATAATAATGATAACTAGGTATTTTCTAGGAATACAAATCAGTTCTGCATCATAGAAAACTAAAAGTGTGGGAAGAAAAGGTTTAAAACTGATCTAAATTTAAAATAAAAATTGTCATAGACATCACAACAGTTGAACTCAATTGACACGTAGCTTACAACTGGCATTTGGCCTATAGATTTTACGTGGCAAATTGACCTTGAATATCTCGTCCCTTAGATTGAATTTCAAAATTCTAGCTTCATCATAACATTGACCTTGCCAAGTTGTACATATTTGCAAAAAATCATGTTTAGTGGTCATATGGTTGCTTTAAACTTCGATCACATACAAAATAATTTCTGAAGTATACAGAGCTCTGCTCAATATGAATAAAAACAACAGAAGTTATGAAACTGTCTTATTAAGATGGCTTCTAATGACAAAGAGTACATACATGTCTTCTCTGCCACTATTTAAAGGACTTATTTCCTTATATTCATCTGTATCATATTTTGAGGCCGTCATGTTTGCAAATACTCTGCTGCTCAACTTAGGCTACCCAACATCATACATAATACATTTATGTGAAACTCTCTTTCTCATAACTGAAAACTATAACATTTATTTAATGGCTTGATATATAAAAAGACACAGGGAGTACCAATGGATTCTCCATTATCACCTATGTTGGCAGAGCTCATTATGCGGAACATAGAACATCAAATTTTCAATGCTCCCTTGACCATCCAATACCCAATTATGTATTTCCATTATGTTGATGTCATACTACTCTTGTGGGAAGGCTCTACTGAAGGTTTGGAACAATTGGCCTCTGTTTATTCTTCTATCAACTTTACGGTAGAGGAAGAACAAAATGCCAGAATCTCTTTCTTAGATCAAGAAATCCATACATATCCTGAGCTCCTATTTTCTGTACATCATAGAAACAACAACGCACTGCAAATTATTCATGCAACAGCCTTTCAACCTTTAAATTATGTGAATTCTGTCATAACTTCCCTCATGCGGAGGGCTTACCTCCTCCCTTCCAACCAGTTAGTGGAAGAAGAATTGCAACTCATTAGCGGAGCTATGCAAAAAGCTGGATATTCCCAATCTAAATTCCATTTTCTCTAAAATCGTGTCAAAAATAAGCTATTTCCACAGTCTTTTCTTAGTAACAAAGAGGATCTAAAAGTAGCATATCCTCCAATGCTGTTTTTAGGCCTGTCTCTCTAAAAATAGTACATTGTTTTAGAACAAATGATTTTATTTTATTGTTAACCACACAACCAATGCTAAGAAGAATATTATGCAATGACAGAGATACTTTTAAATTGAATAAAAAATTGGGGTTTATCAAATTTCACTAAAACATGATCTGTCAGGAGAAGAGACTAGCTACATAGGGGCCACAGCCAGAATATTAATTTCTCACATCCTAGAACATCAGGAAGACATCAGAAACAGTAGATCGTCAATGGAATTGGCAAAAAAAAGTGATTGATCAAGATTATTAGCCGCTCTGGGCTCAAACAAAGTTACTCAAATGATGCAACAATCAGAAAGAATTATTTATTTGGGAGAACCTCTACATATCGGCTTTAACACTGTGCAACGTAAAACTCTTGAAATTCCACAAATATGGACAACATTATTCAAGCAATCTAAGCCACATCTCTAGAACATCATTATTGCTCTCTATTCATATTTGGGGATATTATATCACTCATATTGCTGTTCAAAAACATTTTTGAATTCTTATTCTACTTCAAATTCATGTTGGTATTCCATCCACATGCTTCATATAATTTTATAAGTTGTTCAAAAGCTCAGAATTTGAAAATAGTTGTACTTGATATTCACCTGATGATGGTAGCTTTATGCTATTGAAAGTGCTTGTGAACTCTTATACTCTAAAAGTCACCATTGGTAATGCCACAACATACATATTTAATTACATTTTAAGTTCTTCTCTAAAGAATGTTGATTGAATAAACAATCACAAAAGCCATTTATTGCATCTGAAAAACAATTATCTGCTAGGTGAATGTGTATAGATTGGCATTTGTGGTTTTTTGAGCACTGAATCTTTATCTGGATTTAACTATACTCTTTTAATTATTTTTAAAATCTTAATATAATCTTTTAATTGCTTATTAATTAAAATAAAAAAAGTTATTTAAAACAATTTCTTTNTGAAATACAAAGTTTTAAATTAATAAAAATGATTGTAGTTATCTAAAGTATTTATTGGATCTTTAAAAAGAAGATAAATGTTTTATTTGTGCATTTTTAATAAATGAAAGGTTGCTTCACAATTTTTTCAGAATTTATCTGTATTCTATAATTTTTACTCTCAATGTGATTCTCTGTTTATTCTTTATAGATTGGCAGAAAATTTTTCAGTTTCTTATATTTAATAGTATAATATTTTAAACTTGAATTATTATAATTTAAATTATGCTAATTTTTTCAGGCTATAATTTTACTTTTAATATCTGAAAAAAACTGAGATTTTAATTTACAGCAATTTTTCTAATTCTGAATTTTTCACATAACAAACTTCTCTCTATATCAAACAAGATATGATTGCTAGTAAATACAATATACGAATGTATGGGATTTATTGCATCATATAACAAATGAATTTCCAAATTTCTTGGAGAAATTTTCCTTATTTTGAATACTGAGCATTTATAACATAGAGATTTACAAAAGTATTATTAATCTGACCAAGGTTACAATTAAGATCATCTATGCTTACTATTGATACAAAAATGATTCATTTTTTTCAAAGAAGTGGATTGTTTTTGATAGTCATGCATTGTATAGTCTATAATGAAAGTGCAGAGTGAGAAATGTCATGCTGTGCAGATCTTATCTTGAATAAGTATCAAACATGAATCACAACAGGAGGCTAATGGCCAGTGTCTGGCTCCTGACCCAGTTGCTTTCTTGGTAATTACCCTTCCATTGAATATTGAATAACAATTCTGGGAGGGAATTTTCTAGGAAAGTCCTCAATTGGAGAGAATCTTCAAGAAACAGAAGTAGTGGTTTGAGGGATACCTAGGAATAACATATAAGGGACTGTCCACACTGGAAGGGAGGGAGGGATGTATGACAAGTCGGACAAAGGGGGGTGGATTGAACTTCAATGGACGTCCCTTTTATTTCATTAAATTTTACACAATTTATACATTTCATCATACATAAAGTGATAAAGATTTTGAGAGTGGTTGAGCTTTGCTGGATATCTGAAAGGGGGAGGTAGTTACAGAAACTTGGACAAAATTGGGAAAGAGAATAAAAATTTAAAGAAAAATGTGGATGTAATTTGTGGACAGACTCTAACTGTGGAGGAGAGCACCATACCATGAACCAGAGCTTGCTATAGACACATACATCATTGAAGATCTCTTTTGAATCTGTCAGGTCTTAATTGTTTTGATCTGGAAACAGTTGGTATTGCTACATAGTACAGTAGGGGAACACTGGATCTGTATCTGTGAGGATGCAAGTGTCTTCCAAACAAAGATGTTTTTTAGAAAAAAAATGCATTATCATTACAGTGACCATACGTACTTTATTTAAGAGGACAGTCCTTTATTTCGCTGCTCTGTCCTCTAACTTTATTTATTTTATAAAATAGGCATTTTGT